AGGCTCCAGAGTGGATCTTCCCAATGTGTCTCTCCTCTGTGCCAGTCACTGATGCCATATGACATGTCAGTCTGCCCAACGTCGACACCTTCTTTACATTTAAATTTAGTTAAAGTATTCTGGAGTCACCAGTAACAAACAGGGATGACTGAATTTACTGATAAGTTCGTTGGCAATGGGGTCATTGGTACAGAGCAGTGCTTCTCAAGGTCCATCAGCTGATCACCTGCCCCACATCACCTGGGGTGTTGTGAGTCAGAACCTCTGCAGGTGGATCTCAGGAAGTTCATTCATAACAGGCTTCCCTAGAGATTCGTATATAAACTAATATAAGGCTTACTGACATGGGTAGGTAACTTATTTTAGTAATCCACTGATCTTGTCATAATCAAATACTTTCTAGCCTGCTCTTCCATCCCAAACAATGCCAATAAAGTCAATCGGTTTTCTTTTCCATTATATATCTTTGCATATCATAGTCAATGCTTTCCTTCTTTTTGACATTTCTTTAGGATACTTAACTCATAATTTACTTTGATTATAACTCATACTTTCTGGGGGCTGTGTATTATCCATATTACACATTGTTGTAGCTTAGGATAATCTCTGAAATTACCACACCAATAGCTTATATAGACTATTCTATTCAGTGGTTAGTTAATTAAGGCATCATGGAAAATACACTTGCCATTTGGTCACTAATTTTTAGGCCTAGTTTATTTGCACCATTAGAATTTATAAATTCTATTTTGAAATGTGTATTTTGACAGAACTGGAACATAGATGATATGACATTTACTCAAAGTTATAGAAATGAGGTTAACATTTAAACAGAGTAATTGCAACATTGAATATTAATATTCCATGCTGGTCTTTTCATAATACTATCAGCTGAGCATCTCTAATCTAAAAATCCAAAATTTCAAATGCTCCAAAATTTGAAACTTTTTGAGAACTGACAGAATATCCAAAGAGTTCTGAAGTTTGGATTTTCGGATTAGGGATGCCCAACAAATAAGTCTATTCAAACATTTCAAAATCCAAAAAATTCTTAAAGCTGAAACTCTTCTGGCTCTGAACATTTTGGATAAGAGATACTCAACTTACATAGTCATTTACAGTATAGCTACTAGCATACTCTTTAAATTTGGGATCTACAAAGAGAACAGGAGTCATTTAAAAAGAAATGATGCCATACATCTCAATACATTCAGAAAATTACTGTGGGATCCTTCATACCTTACTCAGTGTACCCATTTATAAAATAAAGATATCATTAATAATTTTAATTTTATATGGGAAATATGAAAAAGGCACTTCTTAAACCTCACTGTGATTATCACACACAATATGAAGTGCAGAAAGCAAATTTCATCTAGTGTATATACGGCAGGCATACTTGTTTTGAGATTCTTATTGGAAATGCAAGTACCTTGCTTGTAGCCCCCTTCCTTGCCTCCCTGAATTCATCATTCTCTAGCAGAATATCCTATTTGTCTTTATTTAGGGCAGTTATTACTACCTGAAAGCTGTCTTTCTCACATATTTATTTACTTGCTTATGTCTCTCTCCTCCACCAAACTATGTCTAAGAGACCCAGGAGCATTACAGTCTTATTCATCACTTACTAACAGCACTACGGAGACTATTGCATTCCTCAAAAAATAAATCAATAAAAAATCATAAATAAAATCTCTGCAAGCATAGGGAGAACTCAAGATAGCCTGTGGGCCCTACAACTCGCCTGGCTCAGAACAGACCTCCCATCGTGAGCGCTTCTGCCTTCATCATTAATCATTGGGTAAATGCACTTCTTAACCTCTGAAGCTGAGGTTTCCTTTTCATTGCTTTTTTCTTTTTATAATTTGGGCCTCACAGATATACTATATTCATTTTTGTAAAAGAAATTTAAAAATTCTCCCAGGTCTATTTTAAAAGATAAGAAACTAGCACATAGTTTTTATGAACACAATAAATTTTATATTGCAAAAGAACTATTAAATCAAGTACCCAAAACACATTCCTTTTATTTTCTTTCAGAATTAGCTCTCGTATGACAGACATGCAGGGAAGGCATCATTTTTTCTTAGAGCTCAATATATCTGATTTTGACAGAAATACATAGATAGAAAAGTATTGGTTTTCACTGAGCAGGAGTTCTTGAAAGATGAGAATGTCTTGCCACAAATCTCTCTTCACTTTACGATGCATAGTGCTTATGGGAGGGGAGTTCAAAAAGCTCATGGAAAAACACAATTAAAAGATGGGTTTATATGGTGGAAAAAAATTGAAGTCCATGCAGTTTTTTTTCCCTAATACGTGTCTTCCATGAACTTTCTGAAGACTCCTTGTGTGCATGAATTTCAAAGATTTCTGCACCAAAGTAAAGATTGCCCACAATTCCATTTTTATTTCATGATTTTTGAAGTATACTTGGATATGGCTGGATGAGTCAGTTGAGGGTAGGTGTCAAGTCTGTGCTCCCAAAGCAGCCAGCACCTGGCCGCCTGATGCACAAGGTTACAAGGGCCCTGACATTCAGTGATGGTCTGAGAGCCTGGTGACCCTCCTGCACTTCCACCCTGCTGACATCTCACTGCCCCCTGGAAAGCTCACCTCTGCGGAATACATCCAAGACAGCTAGCCAAGTTCAAGTGCAGGACTGACACCAGGCTCACTATTCTAAATACCTGGTGGGAGGGGGAGGCAGGGAGAGAAGGCTGCTGGAAGGTGTATAGGGGGATGGGCTGGTGGGTGGTCCCTTATGAAATGATAGGGTCAGTTCTAAATCCCATAAAGTATCGGCAATACTCCAAACGATAAACATGTCTGAAGCCACGTTCACTATTCCTCAGGTAATTCTTCTCTGTTGACTCTGAGGAGGTTTGGAAAGTTTTCTGTATATTAATGACTTTCATAAAGGGTCCTATTCAAATCCCTACTGGGTTTAGTTCTAAATATATGTGATACGCTTTTGTACCATTGGAACTCATCACAGAGCTTTTAAAATATCTCTTAGCCTTGGGGTAATGAATTCCAACAGTTTATTACCCATAAAGCAAAATATCATTGCCTTCATTTTGCCTAATAACTACCTCTTTCATGCTTCCCAGGATATGAGGCCTCTACAAATTACAGAGGTATCTCCCTGCTCCCAATCCGACATCCCTCGTGGCCTGTACCATGAATTCTAAAGTTCTTTACATATCCCCCAGTGAAATGCCAAGCACTCCCAGGTCAGGACCTAATTCTCGGCCTAGTTTTTATATAGTTGTTTCTCCACCATTCCCACTTCGGTTCCACCTCCAGCACCTCACACAACCAGTGGGCATTTACACAAATGTCTGATAAACCGATCTGAATCCTGGAATGTGGTTCTGTCAAACATTACTGCCTCTCTCCCCCAGAAATTCTAATGTGTAACGTGTTTATAGAGGGAAACATTGTCAGAGGCTTTCACTTCTTTCTGGTGGGCTCTGATAAGAACTCTAGACAACATTCTAACTTTGAAGAAGTTCAACTCCAAAACAGATGCTCTTCCACATCTCAAAAACAACCTCGGACAACACGTTTTGGCCTTTTTAGCTATAGCAATAATTTGTCAGGCCAAATTTCATTTTCAGTCTAACCCTAAATTCAGCACAGACACCTTAAACATATTTTCAAAATAGTGCATTTTTACCCATTTCCCTTTTGTTTCGAACAAAACTATCATTTTCCATCTGCCTAAAATGTAAAAGACAAAGCCATACTTCATTGCAACTAATACCTGCCTAACTTAACAGCAGGCCAGATGACCAAGCAACATTGGCTTCATTGGAGTTTTATGGCAGAAGGACAAACCCGCCAATACAATACCTGAAAGTGGCCATTATATCACCGTTGATAACCCTGAAATGCATTGCATTTTTCAGAGCACTTAAAAGCTTAATTCTCTATCCACTGCTATTACATTTCTCTGCCAATGTGAAGGAAATGAATGATTCTAATCTTAGCTTTCACCATCAGCTTTTCCAGCCAGTACACAGTTGGTGCTTAAAAGAGTGCTAATGCAGATTATTCTGTAATTATGGTAAATGTTGAAATAATACAATAAATCTTACCCACGTCATCAAATTAAAGTGTCTTAGGAAAAAACAAACAAGGTAACATGTATAGGCATATACCAGATTTTATAAGTATATAAAGTATTTTTCAAAAACCTCAAAGCAGCAAATATCAAACCAGTAAACAAAACTGAACCACATTTTAACTAGAAATGAGTGTGAAAAATCCATCCTAGTTGTATTTATATTTAGGGATGATTTTTATTTAGTTGTCTTTTATCAGTAAGTCACTCAAACTTAAGGCATATTTACAACTTCAAAGTCACAAAGCCAATTTCAACCTAATCATTATAATTGGAACTGTGGACTCCTCGGTCTCAGGGGACATGACCTATTCCTCGTGCCACCTGACACTCAGCACCTGTGCTGCCTACCCGGAGACCAGCAAATGCTCCGGACTAATTGGCTGTCATGTGGCTTGAATAGAATACCTTTAAATAATCACAAAGGACAGAGATAGGAGATAAGCATCCTCTGTTAAGTGTGCTAGGTCAATCTTTTGACAGATGGAGGGTTTTTTTTTAAATCTCAAAATATTGTCCTGGACTGGAGGTGATAGGGGAAGGACAGGAGAGGTAGACTGAGCTTCTAAAATCAACTCATGTCCTCTGTCAGCTAAGGATGGTCTTTGTTTTATTTTAGAACTATCTAGATAAAATGTGCCAACAGATGCATGGAATGGGGCTTTAAATTCTACCCCTGAAGTGATCCTTATTAGAACAGATTTATTTTCCCAAATATAAGTCAGTTTCCTTATCCTTAGTCATTTTCTAAAGTTGACTTAGTAAATTTTCATTATTCCTGTGGGATAGGATAATTACCCCTGTAGACATCAAGAATCACTCCCACAAGCACATATCCCGCCTACGATTATGAAAAACAAGTGATACTAACCTTGAGGTTGGATAAGCAGTTGTTGAGGAAAACGTGCCACCTGTTCAGGAAGAGCTGCTTCTGACTGACACAGAGCAGACAGGTCACCAGGGGGTACAAGGCCTGAGGAGAAAGGAGACGAGGTCAGAGGTCACCGGATGATTCATTCAGACTCCACAAGGAGGCAACACAGCTTCCCTGCACCCACCATCCTCCCCTCCCCCCTCCACTCCGGGAACAGGTGGCCCTGAAGAAACAGCAGGGGGCCCGCGGCTCAGGGATGCTTGCTGATACTGCTGTGGGCAGATTCATCCAGCATCATGGATGGTTTAGAACAATATGTTTCATACAGAAATGTGATTCTCTGATGCAGCCTGCATGTACAAATTTTAAAAAGGCAGCATCATAGATCAGTTTCAGTCACCAGAAAAAAATTAAAAGCACAAAGGCACTCTAAACCTGAAAATGTTATTGGCTTTTTCCCTCATAAACATCTACTGGTTTACTAGGTAGGTGTATATATTTTCTTTTGCATGCAACCTTCCTGTAATTAAGGAAGATTCCTGAAAGACATGTTATTGCACTGGTAAACTCCACCAAGACAAATTTAACCGCAGGAGGAATTTGCTTACGACCGAATAAACAGAGGTGCTACTGTGTTTTTCCTGTCTAACTGGGCCAGTTTCCCACTGCAGCTGGAGATGACAGAAAAGCTAATGGGCCATACACCACAGCATACATGCAGTACCCATCACCCTTTTGCTAGACCAGAAAGCATATGTGTTTTACTGATACTTTTCCTCTCCACCAAATTTAAGGCTGGTAAAGATTCAAACAAAAATGTAACTGGCTTATCTACGAACTTGAATTAGGAAGAAACAATTGCCACGGTGAGTTCCAAGGCTTAAAAAATTCATTACCTTAGTTTTAATGGATGTTGCACTACCTCTACCATTGAGTACAACTCTAATGCCAGTCATCAATCTGCATGTGGTTATCACAATGAGCAGACAGGTAGACAAATGAGGAAATTCAGTTGCCCTATCAAAAAGCGGCTTTAAATACCTGCTCAGATCTGGTGGTGATGTTCATTGGTCGGACCCTAGCTACCCATGCCAGTTGCCAGCCAGCTAAGCTACCTGCTTTCGCCAGACCATCACAATTACAGCTGGTATACCACTTGCTGACCCGCAAACTAGAGCTTATTCACCAGAGAGTATAAAAGTGGTCATCTGGAAGAATTTCCTATGCTGTTCTTTAGCACCAAAGCCTTCCCAAGAATTATTTTCCTAGTCTTTAGAGAACCTATTCACTGGGCAAGTGTCTATTTTCCAACCCCCTTCCCTGCCTGTTTCAATTTTAATTTTGAGCCAGAATAGGCTCTAGAGGATTGAGAAGACAAACTGTTATTACAAACTTTGGCCTTCAGATTGGGAAAAAAAGTTCTCAGAAATTCAAACAAAAATCAAGTTAAGCCAATCTTAAAAATAAACAACAGCACCCTTAGAACCAGAAGGGTCACCTGGAGAGGCCTGGTCTCATCCCCTTATATTATCATGACTCAATCATGGTCAACACCAAATGTGAACTCCAGAGTTTGAAATGCTACCCCTCTGAGGGAGTGGTAGGTAAGTCTCCCATCCGTGGACTCCTTACATTTCTCAAGTAGATTTCTGTCTAGGACTTTGAGCCTCTGCAGTTTTGTTTGTGCTTTGGATTTTCTCAGAGTTACTAACCAAGGAATGCTTCTTTCGAGAAGAAAGCTCCAGCGTGGTATCATACAGACTTTCCACAAAGTTTCTAAGGCAAGGAACATTTACTTCATTTTTAACAGCCTGAAAGAGAAATGCATGTGAATATTACATTAATGAACTTGTTGATTCTGTAATCCAACTAGAAGAATTTCTTAGCAATGAAAATGTAACTCACAGCAGCAACTGGGACAAGGATCTCAACAAAAAGCCCAGCCAAGGCATGCTTGATGTCTTTGTCTTTGACCTCTAGGAAGTAATGTGCACATTCCTAGGAAGTAAAAAAAAATGGGGAGGGAGAATAGATCAAAATGTGCACATGAAATATATGCAAGCAAACTAAGTAGCTCAGACTCTATAGTCTACAGAAATCAGTGGATTCAAAAGTTAATCTTGGAATCTAACTCTACACAATGGCCTCAATGATATCTAGCAAGGATAGATATAGTGAGTTTTCTCACTCTCCTTCTATTTCTATTTCAGGTAACTATGCTGAAAGGACAGAGCATCTGTAACCAGCAAGCACACAAGCATGCATCCACTGAATTACTGGTTGAGTCACTCATTCATTTCCAACAAATTTCTATTGATTACTTACTGTGTGTGGGGCCCTGGGCTCTTGATTAGCCCACAAACTCAGATCCCCAGGGAAGGTAAACATGGCAGGAGGTAGAAGACATTAAACTTATTTTAGGCCCTATGCCTGACAGCCCTGGGCACACAGCTGTTTACTTGTTCGCCTTGACATTTTAGGTGTGTTTATTATTCAGATAGTTTCATAAGCAAGTCTGGAAGGCGTCCTTTCTCCACCTCAGGCAGGGAAAACTTTGGAATAGCTCCTCAGGCAATGATGCCTTCGCCTGTGGATCCTGTAGGCTACTTTCGGTTTCCTAGGGGCTCATTCTGTGGGTGTGCTGGCTTGCCCAGACTTCTACCAACCCCGACCCCTCCTTCCAGGCCTCACTGGCAGTAACTTACCGTAGTCTATATCAGGTATTGTTTTCATTCAAGAGGCCAAGGCTATGTGTATTTGATGAAGCATTAATATCTGCATTTTGGTTTTTACCCCTCATTTTCAATTACCATTAGGAGAATCACCAAAATTAGTTTCTTTTTTTTATTTTTTATTTTTTTATTTTTTGACAGGCAGAGTGGACAGTGAGAGAGAGAGACAGAGAGAAAGGTCTTCCTTTGCCGTTGGTTCACCCTCCAATGGCCACCGCGGCCGGCACGCTGCGGCCGGCGCACCGCGCTGATCCGATGGCAGGAGCCAGGAGCCAGGTGCTTCTCCTGGTCTCCCATGGGGTGCAGGGCCCAAGCACCTGGGCCATCCTCCACTGCACTCCCTGGCCACAGCAGAGAGCTGGCCTGGAAGAGGGGCAACCGGGACAGTATCCGGCGCCCCGACCGGGACTAGAACCCAGTGTGCTGGCGCCGCTAGGCGGAGGATTAGCCTAGTGAGCCGCGGCGCCTGCCTAAAATTAGTTTCTAAAGTTCTCAGTCCAAGACCTCACCAACACATGGGCAAGACCAGCATGGGAAGTCACCGAAACAGTTTTTTCAAACAGAATGGAATGTGAGAGTTTCCAGGACTGTGGCCCTTTTCTTAATTATTTTGTATATGTTGTTATTCAAGTACATAGAAACATGAATTATCAATACACGGGGTGGGGGTTAAAAAATAATGGAACAGTTACCAGTTACTGAGTGCTTGTCGTGTGCTAAGAATCCCGAGAAGTGCTCTGAGGTTAGTGTCATTACTGCCACCCTCAGACATGGTAGGTGAGGCTTGGAGGGATAAAGTGGGGCTGGCCCAGGTCACAGAGCTCACAGTGAGGCCCAATGAGTCTGATACACAGATTCTCTCCCTCAGCATAACTGAGCTATAATTCATAGACTACACGATTTATCCATTTAGAGGGTACAGTTCATTGGCATTTAATATGTTACAGTTGTGCATCCATCACCACAATCAAATTTAGAACATTTCAATGGCCTCAAAAAGAAACTCTGTGCCCCTTAGCAGTCCACCTCCCTATCTCTCCTCTAACCCAGACCTAGGAGTCCGTTGGTCTAATTTCTGTCTCTATGGATTTGCTTATTCTGGACATGTCATGTAAATGAAATCCTATGTGATCTTTTTCATCTGTTTTCTTTTACTTAGCACAGCATTGTCAAAGTTCATGTTCATTGTAGCATGTACTTCATTATTTTTATGTCACATAGTATTCTATTATATGGACATACCACATCTTGTTCACCTGTTCCACTTACAGATAATAATATCAGGTTATAGAGATTTGGGTTATTTCCACTTTTTATCTATTATAAATAATGCTGCAATGAACATCTCTGTGTTAAAGTTTTTATACGGACATATGTATTCATTTCTTTTAGGCATATGATTGGCCCTCCATATCCACACATTCTGGGAATCTATGGATTCAATAGCAGATTGCAAATATTTGCAAAAAAGAAAAAGGTTATGTTGTTGTTAACATGTGCTATGTAGTTAGGCCTATGTGACTGTGTCTGTTGAACATGTACAGAAGTTTTTCTTGTGGTTTTCCCCTAAACAGTATAGGGTAACTATTTATATCTTACTGACATTGTATTGGGCATTATAAATCATCTGTAAATGATGTAAGGTGTAAGGGAGGGTATGTGTAGGTCATATGCAAACAACACACCTTTTAATCTAAGAATTTGGGTATCTGAGGATTTTGCTGTACATAGGGAGGTCCAGGAAACAATTCTTTTGGATTATGAGAGATGATGGCATAATTAGGAGTATTCCTGGATCATACAATAATTCCAGTTGTAACTGCCTGAGAAACTACCAGGCCATTATCCAAAGTGGTTGTGCCATTTTACATTCACACCAGCAGTGTATGCGGGCTCTAATTTTTCCACACCTGTTGTTATCTTTCTGATTGAAGCCATTCTATCGGGTGTGAAATAATATAGCCTATATTTATATTGATAACCTCTATATCTAAGCTCTCCAGTAAGACTGCCACCAAATCAGATTCACAGTAGCATTATGGAATCCCTTTTGATACTAAAGTTTTGAAACCTCTTAAGAGGATTTCATATCCTGCTAAGAATATTCAACAATTATTGTTACACAACATGAGGAAAACCGGGCAATAGACAAAAGACCTGAATGGTTTGGTAGATTTTTTAAATTAAATCTCCTTTTATGGTAATGAATAAAAGAGAGATCTTTCTTCATTGTTCAAAGTTCTCATGCCTGTGAATTTAATGTAGCTGATCCAATACAATCAATCTTAAAAAAAAAAAAAAAACCAGCTATATTTTATTCATAGAACAATATGTACCAATGAGTGAAGAAGAAAGTCAACAAATAAGAAATTCTTTGCATCCTACTACAAAGATGATATCAAAATTTAAACATGAAATTTTATGGGGCTGGTGTTGCGGTGTGGTGGGCTGAGCCTCCACCTGCAGTGCCAGCATCCCATATGGGCGCCAATTCATGTCCTGGCTGCTCCTCTTCTGATCCAGCTTTCTGCTTGTGGCCCAGGAAAGCAGTGGAGGATCGCCCAAGTGCTTGGGCCCCTGAGCCTGTGTGGGAGACCTGGAGGAAACTCCTGGCTTCGGACAGGCCTGGTTCTGGCCATTGCGGGCATTTGGGGAGTGAACCAGACAATGGAAGACCTTTCTCTCTGTCTCTCCTTCTCTGTGGCTCTGCCTCTCAAATACATAGATAGGATCCTAAAAAAAAAAATCAAATTTTATGATATGCAACACGTGCATACATTTGGTTATAAGGCAAGGCACTTCATGAACTACAGAAGAGAGGGGAAGATTTTATTTTGCTATATTGACAAGTGTAGATGCTCTTTGATTTATGATGGGTTTACATGGTACCTTGAAAATGTTGCAAGGGGAAATGCATTTAATCCACCTCATCCAGCAAATTCTCTGGTTTAGCCACACAGTGCACTGCAGGGGATGGCTGTGTCCCCCTGTGACTGCAAGGCTGACTGCAAGCCTCTCTCTGCTCAGCATGGTGAGAGGATTAGACAGCCTCACACTAGCCTGAAGATCTAAACTCAGAATTTGAAGTAGTTTTCTACTGAATGGCTGTTGCTTTTCTTCTACTGTGAAGTCAAACAATTCTAAGTAGAACCTTTCAATGGTTCTATAAGGGGTTTTCACCTTCCAGGTCTGTCATTTGGACTAAGGAAATCGCTCAAGTTGACATTCCCTTAGCTCTGTTGTCCAAGATATTACCTGCATGAACTGGAGAGAGGCCTCAAAGTCCTCCACTGGATACATCTTAATTCGAAAAAATTTCATCCCCATGATCAAGCTGATAATGCTTTGAACCACGTAAGGACTCTGCTCTTTGTGCCGTAATTCTTTTAGTTCTGCCATAAATTTCTTCTTTACAGCCGGGAATCTAAGTAGAGAACAGAAGTGATTTATCAAATACAGGGCAGGATTATGTTAACATTTACTGTACATGAGTGAGATAGTTATCTTTTCATTTGATTATTATTTATAGCCCTTGCCTATATTCATGCTGATCTAGGCTCTTTTTACTTTTTTATTTGTTGCACTCTTTATTTAGTGGAGCATTAAGTCTTTCACTGTAATGTAAATTAAGAATGTTGTCTCAATTAAAAGAGAAAGGGAAGGAGAGAGGGAATATAATATTCTTAGCAATGTATCTATGAACTACATTGAAATCTGCTCTCTTTGTCACATTAACATGAACCAAAATTTTAAAAAAACTTGTCAGGAAAGTCACTGCAATGGGAATAGTTCTGGGTCCTTTGAGTCAGTTAAAGTACAAAGGTCATCATTTTGTAAGGATTTGATGTTTGGGATTCGGCCAAGAGTTCAATTTTCTCCTTCTGCTTCTTATTGCAGCACTCAACATCGCCTTCAGGCTAGGGGTGCAAATCCAGGGTTATGTAGACTCTCAAAATGGCCCAGCCCTTAACTTGAGCAGGCTGAAAAGCTTCATGTCCTCAGACTTAGCAATTTCCAGCCAACATGCAGACCCTGGGGCCTCAAGTTTCAAATTGTGAGTACATGAGCAATAACACACTAGGTCAGCTATTTCCGACAAGCACAACTTGGACTTGTACTCCAAATAACACCAAGAAGGATCTCTACATCTGCTCCCAGTGTTTTCTGTTGCTATTTCTTTTACAGTTTTAGGTGAATGATCATGGAAAAATATATTTTTGGGTCAAAGGAAAAATGTAGTAATGAGAACATTCAAATCCTATCTAAAAGATGAAGACGAATGGACCTTCTACTCTATGCATGGGATTTTTAGTTTTGTCTGGTGAATGCTAAAGAAACAAAAAGAAACAGTCCCTAAGCTCAATAAGCTTAACGCATATATATTGCTTGAAAGTAAAAATAGGCCGGCGCCGCGGCTCACTAGGCTAATCCTCCGCCTAGCGGCGCCAGCACACCGGGTTCTAGTCCTGGTCGGGGTGCCGGATACTGTCCCGGTTGCCCCTCTTCCAGGCCAGCTCTCTGCTGTGGCCAGGGAGTGCAGTGGAGGATGGCCCAAGTCCTTGGCCCTGCACCCGCATGGGAGACCAGGATAAGTACCTGGCTCCTGCCATCGGATCAGCACGGTGCCCCGGCCGCAGCGCACCGGCTGTGGCGGCCATTGGAGGGTGAACCAATGGCAAAGGAAGACCTTTCTCTCTGTCTCTCTCTCTCACTGTCCACTCTGCCTGTCAAAAAAAAAAAAAGGAAAAAAAAGAAAGTAAAAATAATAATTACAACTATAATATAATCATAAAGGTTTTAAAAAACAATCAATTTTAGGCTAAGAGGAAAGAAAGTAGTAGCAAATATTTGAAGTACCCAAAGGAAAAGAAATGTACACATAAAGATTATCTAAGATGGGTGGCTATACTATTAAACACACAACACACACACATACACACACAAACACACACATTCTTAGATTCACTGTACTTTGTTGCATCAGGTTATTAGCCCAAGCAAAAGGGTTAATTAAGTGTGAGACACGAGTAGAAGAGGTAATAGTGATTATAAAGTTAGAGGTAAACGAATAGAATCCCAGACATTTGGTGTAACTCTTGGCACCTCAAAGTAGAAATTTTAGGGCAAATAAAATAGGCAGTAAGCACACAGGGATTGTTTCACCAAAACCCAGTGCAAATGGCTTTTGAATGGCAAGTGAGGAATCTGAGAATTTGCAAGGGCTGGAAATTTTCTAGTTCTTGGTTTAGGTGGGGAGATGACACAGTTCATTTTATAACAATCAGTGTAATTGTATTTTTTTTTTATTTTTTCTAATTGCTGCATGTATTTAATAATAAAATGATATTAAGGAGGCATTAGAACAGAAAATATAAATAGCTTAAAGAAGACTTAAATACATTATGAATGTGGTAATCCCTACAGGATTGTTAACATAATTAGGAATGTTTCAGGGCATATTCCTAATCTGTAGTTGCATTTTGTGGATTTCTACAAAACATCTTCTTTCAAGATAGCATTCTGGACTGGCCCATTCTGATATTTCTTAAATGTTATTGAAATAATGTCAAAAATAATAGTAGCATTTATTTTATAAGTAAAATATCCTGGATATTAACTGAAAAATTAAACACAGCATTTTCAGAGAAGGAAATTAGCAAAAACTGAAAAAAAAAACAAGTTTCATTTAATAACTTTACAAACTGATGGTATTAGAGGACATCTCCTTGAATGAAAATTTAAAACTGTACCCTTAATCATTCTGGAATATAAATTCTAAACTCCAATGTCATCATTTCTTTCCTAGGTTTCATAGAAAAGATTGATGTCTTGGATGATGATGATGACAGCAGTAAGTAGCATTTGCTACACAACAGCCATGGTCAGCACACTCTACATGCAGTCACTCATTGCATCCTCACAATGGGATACTTGGGGTACTGTTATATCTCTGTGACAGACAAGAAAATTGAGGCAGATAGTTCATAACTTGATAAAGTAACACAACTGCTATAAGTTAGACCTGGAATTTGAAGGGAGTGTCTGACTCTAGAATTGCTGTTCTTGATTTCTATGCTACACATTGTACCACCACTGCTCAAAGTGCGGTTCTCAGACCAGCAGTGCCAGCATCACCAGGAATTTGTAGACTTTCACATGCTTTGCCTCTGGGCGCAACCTACACTTAGAGGCTCAACTTTGTTTCCCAGCAAGTTCATATACGGAAGTCCTCACCACAGGTACCTCAGAACATGACTCCATTTAGGGAGGAGGTCTTTAAAGACACAATTAAGTGAAAATATCACTATGGCGGGTCCTAGTCCAATAGGACTGGTGTCCTTGTACAAGGAGGAGATTAGGACACATGCATTCACGGAGGGAAGAACATGTGAAGACAAAGGGAAAAGACAGAATGTGCAAGCCGAGGAAAGAAGTCTGGGGAGAATCCAACCTGCTGACATTGTGACCTTGGACTTCCAGCCTCAAGAACTAGGAGGAAGCACAGGTTTGCTGTTTAAGTGCCCAGTCTTTGTATTTTGCTGCGGCCACCCTAGCAAACACACATATGAGCAACTGCTTAGCTAAGTAGAAGTGCTGAGTTTGAGAATGAGTGCTAAGAGGGGGCAAGGAGCAGTTTCTCCAAACACCTAAGTCACCATTCTACTGAAGAAGAACGGAAAAACTTTCTGACAAATAGAGACTTCTGAACATGTGATGAACTCTATCACATAATTTAGTTACAAGTTGAATGCATTATTTATTATCCGGCTAGATGTGAATGCTACAAGATCAAGCACATAGGAGGCACTCAGAAAATACACCGAGTGGATTAACTTCCCATGGGGATAATGCGTCTCCTGTCACAGGAGGTATCCGGCAGAAGCTGAACACATTTCCCATGCTACAGAGCTGTCCCCTGCAAAGGGCACATGGTTAGGCCACTTCAAGGCCCTTCTTTCAAACTTGAAATCTTATTAATGTGATGTGACTTCTGCTGAGAAGGAAGCATGGGCATTCCTCATAAAAAGGGCCCACATTTAAGCACTGGTTTTCATCTCTAACCAATGAATGCAACAGGAAGAAGAAAAAGGAGAGTTATCCGAATAACACAGTATTTCAATATCCCCGTGAGTTAGTGGCTAAAAGTTTATTTCTATTTTAAAAATACCTTTTACTTTTAAAAGCCCCAAATGACAAAGTCATGTTATTTTTGCACAAAAGCAATCCAAAAATCTGTTTGTACTTAGAATCTGTTCTCCATTAAAATGATTTTAAGGAAAAATAAAATTGTTTATGATCTTTCCTTTAGTATTTATTAGTTAGTGCTGTATTTAATACAATAAAACTAAATGATTATACCTGTTTAGTATTCCATAAAACTCACATAAAATAAACCTGCTTTAAAATTTACAGTACATGAGAGTGCAAGAATATATAAAGCACGTGTAACATAAAGGGAAAGCAATTTTAAAATGAATATTAGAAGAAATCATCACTATTTAAGTTTATATACCAAGTTTTGGCTAAGGTATTCAAAAATCTAATTTTAATGTAACTGACTTCAAAAAAAGTATTACCAGGTATACCACTTAATAACAAAATATCTTCCCTTTAATGACAGGAATGAAGCAGCATTATTACTAGTAAGAAAAAAATTAGTGATGCAGCTAAATTCCAAATACCTGAGTTTTAATCACTAAGGTCATAAAGAGAAAAATATTTCATATGCATCACCACAGGGAATGGGGTGAGCAGTCTAAAATTAGAATTATTCCATTACTCAACTTTATAGAAAGAAAGTTCCCTGCACTGCCCTAAATCAGCGTACATCCTTTTCTTCCCTCCAGAACAAAGGAAGCAGTGTTCTGAGACTGTGATAAAAATAATGGTCCTGGAGTAAAAGAAGTATTGTGACAAGTCATGGTAAGACCCTAGTTTAAGATTATACCAACTGTCAATAAAGGAGTGCACATATCGTCTGTTGAGAACAAATCATGAGTTATTTGAGTCTGCAATTACTACAAGAGCAAATGGACCAAGGTACTCAAAAATATCTAATTTAAACCTCATTAATTTTTGAAGGAGGTAAATACTATGTGTGAACATCACTTAACAGCAACAAATGTCCCCATTAGTGACAGGAATGAAGGGATGTCCCGGTGACTGGAAAGTATTGGAGCATTGTCCAAGCAGAGGCAATTACTTACACCCAAATACTGCAGAACCAGGACAAACGCTGACGTCACGAAAGCCACTGTTGGAAAGAAAACACTGGCTCGGTGGATCATAAATCTGACCTAATATGGAAATTCCTACAACCTTAGAATGTTGCTTAGTTCTGATATTGCTTCTCAGAAAATTCACGGGCAACTCAGAGTCTATGTAGCGAAGGGAGGTCATTTGATGATATTCAATATTATGCATAATTCACAAAAACTAAGAAAAATACAAAATGTCATTTTTGGCACACTAAACTTTCCAAATGATAGCATAAGAGAAATATGCTAGGAAATTTACAAAGGAATTACAGAGGAATATATTGATTTTTCAGGGTTTGAAATATCAGCAAATATGCATATTAATACCTCATTTTTCTAATCCTTTTTAGGAATGAGGTAGACACACATGAATTAATTTGTCAGATAACTGCAGCTTATCCATTCAAAATGTCAGTACCTTCCTTAGTCATTTGCAATGGAAATCTCTCCAAAATGTATTATACCTTTCTGTCTTTAATGACTCATGAACTATAATTATCATAGTAGGCTAGAGTAAAAGTACATATAACTTTATCATTAGCTTTAGCCCATTTGGCCCATATAACTTTATCATTTAGCTTTTTGTAATTAATATGCATATTTTTAAGAAATTTACTCAAAAGGTAGAGAGACAGTTGTCTACTGGTTTACTCCTCAATGCTCTTAATGGCCTGGATGAGGCTAGGCTGAAATCAGAAGCCAGACACTCAGTCCAGATGTCCTGTGTGAATGGTGGGAGCTCAACACGTGAGCCATCACCTGCTGCTTCCCAGAGTCTGCAGTGGCAAGAACTTGAAGTCAGGAGCCCAAGCTGGAAATCAAACCCTGGCACTCCAATATGCAATGAAGACATCTTTAGTGACTAGGCCGAATGCCTGCCTCTATCATTAAGTTCTTTATATGCTTTGGCTAGTTTATTTCTTTTCTGTTGCTGTCACCCTTTGACTTGGTATTTTTTACTGGCTTCAATGAATCATCCCCTAGAAGTTTCTTTTCTCCATAACACTAACACATTATGTGTTAGAAAAAAAATAGGTGGTTAGGATAAGTAGACAAACTGGGTTAGATTAAATCATGCCAAGGAGTGTTTTGGGTGTATTTCTTGAGCTCTTGTCTATGTTTTGACTACAAAAGGTTGCTGAGTAAGCTCTGAAAAAATTTTTCTAATATAAATTGTGTTTTTGCATCTACTAGGATAAAGATCTTTTTGAGGATTGTATTTCCCAAGAATCGGAGCATCACTACCACCTCTGGATTGAATTCACATCATGCCTGGCTCATTGTACCCAACCTAGGCATTTGGGATTTTGCCCAATTTGCCTCGAGGCTGGGTAAAATGAAGACAGGTAAGTAGGGTGTGACATCACTTTTGGAAGAAGTGTATTATTGCTAATAGTCTAGCACTACTTTGTTCTAGCCTGCTAAGTAGCATTATGGGGCCAGATAAATTTAGCAATGAGAATTTTCCCTTGACTTGTTTCCATGACAGAGTCTGGGACATTTTTAGCTCTGCTGAATTAAGTGAGGTCTATAGGAAAAGGGCCATGCTAGAATGGAATTTTCCCACTTACAGATGACATGTGGCGACTACCCACTCATGGACTACAGAAAACAGAACTTCTAAAGCTGATAAACTTTGGGCTATCTGGCTAGAAAGAAAAGGCATCTGGTTAGTCCATCTCCTTCTTAGAAGCAGCAGTCTGAAAGCCATGGACTCAGTAGGGTCTGGCCCATTTTCCAGATGAGAAAGGTAACTTGGTTCCTGCCTTGAATGAGCTTCTATTTAGTTTCAGGGACTGGCACACATGGAAAAAAGCATCCAAGGCCCATGTGAGCTCACTCACACCCCATTCATTAAGGACAGAAGAGGCACTCATGTCCCCATGGTAACAGGTTCTGACGTCCACTTACTTTGCTTGTGCCAGCACTCCAATGACTTCTGCATACAGGTCGGCCACGATGTGCATGTTGCCAGTGTTTGGACCAAGGTACCTGAGGAAGGCACAGTTAGACAAGTCAGGGGTCCCTGGTCATCCAAAAAGGGCAAACCACTGATTAAGTTTCAAATTCCCAATGTCAACATCTTACCCTTCTTTGTATTTGAAGTGCTTGAAAGCCAAGTTAATAACATCATGTATTAAACTGTCTATGACGGGATGAAGTGGAATCTGAGGGGGAAAAGATGAACATTAAAAAGCAACAATATCAGTAATTCTAATGACTACGGATGCCCATTAGCAGCCCGAAAACATGATTCCTAGGGCCCAGTACTTAGAAACAATGTAATAAACTCAAACTTTCAAAGCTTAAGTAGCTTTTATATCAGTAAATTTTATTTAAAAATAACAGTAAATTAATTACCCACCTGTTTCAAAACTTCTATTAAAACTAAAGAAAAAATGAAATCAATGGCGAGGTCCCGTCTTTCCATTAAATAATCTCGCTGCTGTTCATCACTGTAAAATGGAAAATATTCACAATAAATGGCACCAAAGATATTCTTAGAGTGACATGACCCATCAAAAATCTATCCCCAGTGGACTGAAAACTCATCCTTTTTACAAGATGACAGTGGAAATACATGCTAACATTCTATTGTCAAAGTGGTACACTAGACAAACAGGATTTGAAGTAAGAATATTTGAATTTAAAATTTTCAACCACATTAACTTGAGAAGCAACTTGTGAGTCTACAATCTCATCCTGTGGACTTCCCTAAAGTATCTTTCATCCCAGGAATTCTATCATCTGTAAAATGTGATGCAAACATGACACAGCTGTCATATAAGTGCAGTGGAGAATGGCCCAAGTGCTTGGGCCCTGCACCCGCATAGGAGACCAGGAGAAGGACCTGGCTCCTGGCTTCGGATCCGCGCAGTGCACTGGCTGCAGCGGCCATTGTGGGGTGAGCCAATGGAAAAAGGAAGACCTTTCTCTCTGTTTCTCTCTCTCTCACTGTCCACTCTGCTTGTCAAAACAAAAACAAAAACAAAACAAAAAAAGAAGTGTATAGTGAAAGGAGCTCGTGAAGGTATCTAAACAACGTAAGGAAATACTATGCTTTCCACTCGGAGTGGACGACACAGAGTGGAGAAAGATCAAGAATGGTTTCCCCTTCTTCCTCCCATCCTCTGATCCTGTTCCTCTCACTCTTTGCCACTTGAAATTGAAAGGAGAAAAGAAGACGTGAGGGGGTGTGGGAAGAACAAATAAAGAGCAGCAGGAGGAAAGGCAAAGCAGAGTCATTTGCACTCGTTCCAAAGCAGGGAAGCAGAATCAGCGCTATCAGAAGGCCAGACACGTGGCCTCCGCCACCACACTTTCTGCTTACCTAACGTGCTAAGGAGGGCTCATTTGGAACTGAGCAAAGACAAATGCATACATGAAATGACAAGTTCCTTGGTGCAGATAAGATCGTTGACTTTGTTGGTGCCAGTCCTGGTTTAAAATTAAGCTGCTTTTACTTACCAGCAATTTCTCCATCTACAAAATGGGAGTAATAATTGTATAGGGTCTGAGTTTCCCTTATCTGAAGTTCTGTAGACCCATGCTATATATTGGATATTCGATATGGGAGATATATATACATATATAGATATATTTGTCGTTGTAGATATGGATGTAGAAGACAGCGGGGGATGAGGTGGTAGAGGGGGTAGAGGGAGAAGAGGAGGAAGAGGGGGAAGAGGGGGTAGAGGGGGTAGAGGGAGAAGAGGAGGAAGAGGGGGGAGAGGGGAGAGAGAAAGGAGAGGGGGGAGAGAGGGGAGAGGGAGTTCATTCCCATCTGCTGGTTCACTCCCAAATGCCTGCAATGGCTGGAGCTGGGCCTGGGGCTGAAGCTTTGAGACAGGAACTTAATGCAGGTCTCCTACCTCCAACACTGGTGGCAGAGACTCAATTACTTGGCTGTCACCTGCTGCCTTCCAGACTCTGCATTGGCGGGAAGCTGTATTTGGGAGTTGAGGCTGGGGCTCTGAACCCAGGATTCCAATGTGGATTGTTGGCATCTTAACTGCTGGCCTAAAAACTCTGTCCAAGACTATTCTAAATATGTAATGTTTTCCTTTTGAGTCAAAAGGGTATGAGAAAGAATGGGAGGTAGTATGTAAGATATCAAAAAGAACTTCTGGAGTTTCTTTGTGACCTTAAAGGAGTGGGTTAACAAGGGAAGAAGAAGCTTTGCCTTTCAAGAAGAAATGTATTCACAGGGCAGGAACTCATTCATTTGGGATCCTTGATGAATAGCCCTACCAGTAGGAAGATGGGTGGATAAAACCAATCAGTTGAAGTCCCCTAAGACCTATGAGGACTGGAAAGTGCTAGTGGCTAGCTGGGAGAATGGAAAGGTGCAGAGCTGCATTACAAAAGAGGACATTTACAACCCATGCCTTACATCCGTGACAGCATGGAATAAGGAAACAGGAAGTTAGAACCACCAAAAGGAAGGAGGACTCTCAAGGGCAGCCAGCAGCAGCAGAGAGACTGGTTTTGTGTTGGATATGGCTGTTAAGGGTCTTTGAAAGTAGCCAGAGGACTCTGAGGAGGTGGCAATTCTTGGAATAAAAAAAAGTAACTTCTGATTCTCTTTTATTTGATAAGTCAAGGTATGCTTCAAGTAAAAGTGAGACATATTTTCCCAATAATGAATTAAGTTTTATTGCTGGTTTGAGGTCTAACTTCCAGGAGGCTGGAGGCATTTGACAAATTTATTTGGCAGTCAAAATGTTGATCTTAGACTAATCATAGAAATCATAGCCCAGTGCATATCTCTCCCATTTGACTATTTTGGTTTCTAATGCTCCTCCCCACAGTTCCTTATTTATTTTTTCTTGTAACACAAAGTCACATTATTAGCGACATCATGCCCTAGAGACTGTCATTCTTTTGGCTTTTTCCCAAGCAGAAATTCTCTCTTGTTCTTTTTTTAACTTTGTTTGTATAAGGGTAACAAATTTCATATATTTCATATATATAGCTTGAAGAGCATAATGATACTTCCTACACTACCCTCCCTCTCCTCTTTCCTTATTTTTCTACTAATTTTTACAATGACATATTCTCAAGTTACTTTATAATCACAAGTTTAAACCTCCACTAAATGAATAATTCAACAAATAGTAAACAGTAAAACTACTGTTCTTCAAGACTATAGACATGAACTATAAACAATAATCAAATCACAAAATGCCAAGCCGGCGCCGCGGCTCACTAGGCTAATCCTCCGCCTAGCGGCGCCGGCACACCGGGTTCTAGTCCCGGTCGGGTGCCGGATTCTGTCCCGGTTGCCCCTCTTCCAGGCCAGCTCTCTGCTGTGGCCAGGGAGTGCAGTGGAGGATGGCCCAGGTGCTTGGGCCCTGCACCCCATGGGAGACCAGGAAAAGCACCTGGCTCCTGGCTCCTGCCATCGGATCAGCGCTGTGCGCCGGCCGCAGCGCGCCGGCCGCGGCGGCCATTGGAGGGTGAACCAACGGCAAAGGAAGACCTTTCTCTCTGTCTCTCTCTCTCACTGTCCACTCTGCCTGTCAAAAAAAAAAAAAAAAAATCACAAAATGCCAATTTTACTTATAGCTATTGCATCTTTTTTTGTCTTTTGAGAACTGGTTTATTTTACTAAGCATAAAAGTTTCAAACTGCATCCATTTTGTTGTGAAAGACATAATTTCATTTTTATAGCTGAGTAGTATTCCATTGTGTATTTATACCACAGTTTCTTCATACAGTCACCAACTGATGGACATCTGTGTTGATTCCATACCTTAGCTATTGTAAGTTGAGATGCCATATCAGGAATCTAAATCTAAGACCTCAAACCATCGAATTACTAGAGGAAACACTGTAAGATACTGGATAGTCAGACTCCAGGAGCACAGGCAATAAAAACAAAAATAGACAAATGGGAGTATATGAAGCTAAGAAGCTTCTGCACAGCAAAGGAAACACTGAATAAAGTAAAGAGGCAACTGACGGAAAGGGAAAATATCTGTAAGCTATACATCTGATAAAGGATTAATATCCAGGATATATAAGGAGCTCAAAAAACTCACCAACAACCAAACAAATAAAACAGGCTGAGGATATGAGCAGGCATTCTTTAAAGGATAAAATACAAATGGCCAATAGACACTTTAAAAAATGCTCAGTCACTAGCCCTAAGCGTAATGCAAATAAAAACCACAGAGAGGTTTCATTTCACCCCAGTTAGAACGGCTATCACCCAAAAATAAATAACAAATGCTGGCAAAGATGTGGGGAAAAAGTTACCCCAATACCCTGCTGGTGGGAATGTAAACTAGTACAATCATTATGGAAGACAGCATGGAGATTCCTCAGAAATCTGAATATAGACCTACCATATGACCCAGCCATGCCACTCCTGGGAATTTACCAAAAGGAAATGAAATCAGCATATAAAGGAGTTATCTGCATCCCCAATGTTTATAACAGTGCTCTCTTGCTCACTCATTTTCAGTGTTCATAAGTATCTAAAATGCTACTGAGTAAAATTTTACTGTCCTGATACTGTATTCGATTTCAGTAATTTCAGCAATTACTCTGATCTACCAGTAATACTCAGTAACACAATTAAAAAGCATTTTCAATCCATAAAATACTCAATTCATGAAAAAAATTCTAGTTTAGTAACCACCTGCTGACAAGAGAAGAGGAACAAAACTGAAACTCATTGCACTCCCCACCCCCAGATAAGTTCTAAGATAGCCAACATGTACGATGGGGATTTTTAAGATGGTTATTTTTCCAAGAATGAGCCATTTTCAGGCAAAGAAGTGAAATTCCATCTTTAGCACCTGATAAATAACAGAATATTTATGAGGAGAGACCACTAATAGGTGCAGAGTTTCTCTTAGAATGATGAAAATGTTCTGGAAGTAGACGGTGGTGATGGTTGTGCAATCCTGCAAATAAATTGCAAACACTGACCACAGACTTTAAAACCGTCAATTTGATGCTATGTGAACTATCTCAATAAAAATCTCCTTACTGAACCATTTTTCAGTTGAAGAAGAACTATTAATCTCTCCCCAAAACAAAATGATAAACAAATGATTGCACTGCTGCATAAACTGGAGTATATTATAAAATTAAATTATAAATTTGGATGAAATTTTATAAAATTGTCCATCTTTGGTGTCAAAAGAACTCTATAATTCTTAAAGTATTAGGACTATCAAGAAAAATGAGAGCTAAATCATAAGAATTAGTTAACACCTGATTTTCTGAGTGATTGATTTTAATTTGCTTTCTTTAAAATTATTGGAAATGCATAATCAATTCATGTAGGGAAGTCTAACAACTGCTTTTAAAATACTCTTGTTTTCAAAGATAAGTGTATCCAGCATTCTTGTGCTCACTGTATTGCTGTCCTAGATTGATTTAAAATATTCTAGGGTGCTTCAATAAGTTCATGGGTGGGAGGGAGGGTAGAATATAAAGTATCCCTATATTGCTGAATCTGTATATAGGAAATACATGAAATTTGTATTCCTTAAAGTTTTTGTTAAAAAGATCATTTGATCAGGGCTGGTGCTGCAGTGTAGCAGGTAAAGCCACCACCTGTGGTGCTGGCATCCCATATGGGCACTGGTTCAAGTCCTGGCTGCTCCACTTCTGATCCAGCTCCCTGCTAATGCTGCTGGGAAAGCAGCAGAAAATGCCTCAAGTACTTGGGCCTCTGAATCCCCGTGGGAAACCCAGCAGAACTTCCTGGTTCCTGGCTTCAGAGCAGCCCAGCTCTGGCTATTGCAGCCATTTGGGGAGTGACCAGAGGATAGGATATCCCTGTCTGACTCTGTAAAACTGCCTTTCAAATAAATCAATTTTTTTTGAAAAAAAAAAATAAAAGATAAGTTTACTTTGATGCAAAAAACTTTAAAACCCATGACTAGGAGGGGTCTTCAAAAGAGTTCATGAAAAATGCATGTTATGAGAAAGTTCTATATATTTACCTAAAATCTAAGAGGAAGTACATTAATCTGAATGTATGAGAATCTTAGCTCTATGCTTGCTCTATGCTTGCTCATGTAGTGGCAAGTTCCACTTTTGAAACCCAGAAGAGAAGGGGCCCACAGAATAAGCCGAATGCTCAGGTGGAAGGAGAAGTCAGCTGTGGGGTAACCAAACTTCCCTGTTTTGTTCCCACACAGGCTTAGGCACACAGAGGCGGTGAGCCGGCCACAGTCACATGGCTAAGCAGCAGTGTCAGGATTCCCCACAACGTGCAGCCCAGCACCCTGCAAGCTACAGCACACTGGGCATTCCAGGTTACTGCAATAAGGTCTAAAATATCCCCGCATACCATGCGAGGCCCTGCAGCCACCCTTCTGCCTTTTCACACAGAGGGCAGAGGAAAGCAGTAGGCAAAATGTGACATGGGTTTCTTTATCCCCTGTCCCCACCAATGTCAAGATAATAGCTTGTGTGAATTTTCAGCCATGGCATCTGGCAGCGGCTGGGTGCTCCAAATGTGTTACTTGCTGTAGACAGTGGGGGGGTGGGGAGGGGAGGGTGCAGCACCTGTTACGTGTCCTACCTTAGGGTCAGGAGTACCTAAGATGCCTCATAACTCCCATAACTCCCATTTTTGTTTATAGTTCTCAAAAAAAAAAAAAAGAAAAGAAAAGAGAAGAAGCCATAATTCTTACATAGAAAGAAAGGTACCTTTTAGATTTATTGCTTGTTCTTGGTCTGTATTCATGTGATTCATCCTCAATGCCATTCTGCCTTTTATACCAGTCAAATAACGTCCGTAGAATGGAAGGCAGGCAGTACTCGGCCAGGGAGCTCATGGAGCTGATGACCTACAGGGAGAGATGCAGGTGATGAAAAGGTTGGGGTGGCAGTGCCAATGACTGAGAAATACGTATGCCAGAGCTCTAAGCAATATTCACTACAACATGTTCTTATTTATCATAGTCCTTGCTTTCATAACCTTTGTTAGTATATTCCTAAGAGCCCGTGTCTCTCAATGTTGACAGATGTTCCTAATTATAAAAATGAGGTGAAACACATCTGGAAGATAGTTTGGAAATGCACCTTAAGAACCTAATAAAATCATTCCCAAGAAAGTCACTATTAAGACTCATCTCGGGTACATAACTAGAGAGGAGCAAGAACATTCATGAATGTGAGCATTACTCATGATAGCAAATAAATAAATATATATACAACCTAAATGCCCAATTAAATGTAAATGCCTGAATATGATGTGGAAGCATGGGTAGGCTCTTGATTAAAATATTAAAAATCACATTTCAAAAATATTTCATGGGCATAGGTGTTTAGCCTAGTGGCTAAAATGCCCATGTCCCACACAGGAGTACTTGATTTGTTCCCTGGCCCCAGCTCCTGATTCCAGCTCCCTGCTAATGCAGACCCTAGAAGGCAGCAGTGATGACTCTCCAGTAATTTGGTTCCTGCCACTCATATGGGAGATTGGCTTGAGTGCCTGGTTTCAGCCTGGCCCACTCATTGTCATTTAGGGAATGAAACAGCAGATGGGAGTGCTGTGTCTCTGTATCTGTCCATCTACCTCTCAACTGAAAACAATTATGATGCTAAAATTTTCAGAATATGTTAAGTGAATAAAGAATATTTAATTGGTCTGATCTCAATTTGGTGTAGACACTATGTAAATGTGTAGAAATGGAAAATATGACTTCCAATTTTTTTGAAACATGAGGTTACTTTAAAAAGAATGAGGGGGAAATGGAATTAAAAAGATAGCTTTTTGATATTAAAAATATTTTAGATCCATGAATAGTTTTTCACAAAATGAATTTTCCATGAACTTTTTCGAATCCTACATATACATAGATTTAAAACATTTTTGGCATCAAAATAAACTCATCTTTTAATTCCACTTTCTATCAACATGTAAAAAATTAAATTTTATTTGAGAGGCAGAGGTGGGGTGGGGGCAGAAAATGCTCCCGCCCGCTGGTTTATATTCCAAATGTCTGCAACACTGAAGGCTGAGCCAAGTTGGAGCCTGGACCTAAAACCTCAATTCCACGTAAGTGGCAGGGACCCAACTGTCTCCCAGGTGTGCATTTGCAGGAAGCTGGATAGACAGTGGAGTAGCTAGGACTTGAATCAGGCACTGGATCTAGAAGCTGGAGTCAGATACAGAACTCAGGCAAGCACATTTAGGATATGGGCAGCTAAACACCTGCCCCGATTTCCTATGAACTTGAAGTCCCCACATGCACCAACGTATAGAGTGCAGACTGAAATCAGGGGCTTCAGGAGAGGCTAAGTGGGAGCTGGAAATGAAGGAAGGATTTACCTGGAACTTTTCTAGAAAGAGAAGCCAAGATATGCAATCAAACAAGATGATGATTTGTGGATGAGTGGAAAAGAAAATGCGGTTCACATATATGATGGGCTATTACTCAGCTATAAAAAGAATGAGATCTTGACATTTGAAAGAACATAGATGGAACTGTAGATCATGTTAAGTGAAAAAAGGCAGACACAGAAAGACAAACACCACATGTTTTCTCTCATATGTGGAAGGAAGGAGAGTGCATCTGATCTAAAAATAGTGATTATGAGAGGCTAGGAAGGGTGGAGTGTGGAGGGTAGAAAGGTTGGAAACAGTAACAAAACACAGTGGGATAGAAGTAATAGGTCCTACTGTTCACAGCACAGGTGGGGACAATAGTTCACTGCAGTATGTTTTGCATAAAGAAAGGGAATATAGGAGCTGGTAGGATCCAAACACAAAGGAACAAAAAGGGGGCCACCTTTGTGGCACAGCTGGTTAAGTCACTACCTGTGATGCCAGCATCCCATATGGGCTCGGGTTCGAGTCCCTCATGCTCCACTTCTGATCCATCTCCCTGCTAATGGCCTGGGAAAAGCAGCAGAGGATGGTCCCTGCACTCACGCAGGAGACCAGGATGAAACTCTTGGCTCCTGGCTTTGACCTGGCCCAGTCCTGGCCATTGTGACCATCTGGGGAAGTGAACCAGCAGACAGAAGATCTCTGTCTCTCCCTTTCTCTCTGCAACTCTTTCAAATAAATAAAAAAATCTTAAAAAGAAAGGAAATGGAAAAGCTAACTGCCTGATTTGAACAACTGCTGTATTCATTCTGAAATACTATGTTCCATAACAATGTATAAGTAGTATATATTAACCAAGAATTTTTTAAAATTAAGAAAATTGAGATAAGGCTCCAGAAAGAAAGCATGCAAGGATCTAAGGCAGGAAATGGTAACGATGGCATAAAATTGCTCATTGACGATTATGACAATTCACGTGACAGAGGTGACAGAGCTTTGGTAAGCCAGGGTAGAGGAATATATTGTTACAAAGATTCTCCCCTAGAACATGGGAAGCCCCTACAGAGCTCTGGGGAGGGAAATAAGCCCATAAAAATGGTCTTTGGGAGGTTTACTCCAGCAGAGATGTGTGGGAGAACACACAGGCTTGTGCTTGAATTGAATGAGATTCCTGCCACAGTGCCAGGCGTCATGATGATCTCGGCTGGAGCTGGGCAAGTGGCACAAGAAATGGAAATTTTTGGTTACCGTCAAACACTTCTGCAGTTAGCAGGCCAGGCTTAGCCTCCTTTTATAAAACAGGAAACTTCTGTGAAGGGAGGTAACGTGCTTCCAGTCAATAGGATTTTCCACTGTCACCTTTCAAAGAAGCTCTCAGACTGAATCAGACAATTAGGGCTTTCTTCCTCCCATTCTATCTCGTGACAGCCTTATTTCTTGCTGTCTCTCCTATGACAACAGCTCCGAGTGTCCACACAAAATTGTACATTATCCTTAGTAATGGGTAAACCGAAGTTAAAAGAAATCGGCTATTACATTCAATCTGCTCTATGAACCTATCACTCTTCGCTTTTTTAAAAACTGAAAACAATCATCCCTGTGCTCTCTCCTCCACCCCAGTAATATCCACCGCCATAACATTTTCCGGTTGTGGTTGCGGATTTAACAGCAGTAATTTCTTAGAAAACTCAAAGTGTGTCAAGGGAGTAATTTACCAGCTCTCTCTAAATTTATACCAGCACAAGAATGGATATTTCCTCAGTCGCCACTATTGAAAACATTTTGAACCAGAAAATGAAAAGGTTTCTTTCAAAGGGGAAAGAGGGATTAGAATTTGGAGTCTCCATGTAGGGGTTATCTACAGGTATGGGTTACTACGTATATACTAAGACCCCAAAGCATCTACTATTATAACTCAATAATTTAAATCAGCCTAAGGAGATGTGACAACTTAGTGTAAAGGAGAGTCCTAGATGGTATCCTGGAGTAGGATAAAAGGGATGAGGGAAAAGCAAATGACGCGCACATGGAGCGTGGAGTTGATTACACGCTGATGTTGGTTTCTCAGCTGAAACAGATGGACCATCTAACGTAAAATGTTAATCAAGGAAACTGGCAATCGCCTGTGTCATCACAATTACTCCGTAAATCCAAAATTATTTTAAAGTAAAAGGTTAGTTAAAGAATATTTGGATAGGAGATTTACAAGCTCCATTAGTTGCTACAGACCCATAAAGGAGATAGAAACTTAGACCAGACTGCTATACACACAGCACTCAGCCACTTTACTTAGCTGTAACCCACGTTCTCCATGGAGAAAGTCCACGGTATCCTCCACATCTCAGCTATGAAAATTTAAAAAATTATTTTCTTCCACCCATCAAAAAGTCATCCTCAAGCCATTTTTGGTATTAGATCCATTGGGCATCCTTGGCCTGGCAAGCACACTGAGACCGGCTTGGAAGGCATGGGAGGTCAGCACAGGGTGGATGTGTGTGTTTTTTCCATCTTTCTGGTACTGCCCTTTGGAGCCTGGGCTTTCAGGAAGGAAGGGTGGAATCTGCGAAGACCTGGCCCTCAAAGCTCAGGAAGGGAGGAAGGTCTAGTGGCTTCTTGGTTACTCAAGTCCTTCATTTATGGGAAGCAGAGCCAATGGCAAGATGAATTCTAGCTCTGTGCTGCTGCTGGAAGGGGGCAGGGCCACCACAAAGATGTTCTTGTTGCATTTCAATGATCATATTCTTCCACCACCCATGAGCTAGGTACTGGGCAGCATGAAGAGACGAAGTGCTGGGCTTCACCGAGCGACTTCATGCTGGTGTTTTCTTTTCGGGGAGACAGAGGCGAATACTAAACATACTCTGCAAATGTCTTACTGTTTATTTTAGCTTTTTATGTATAAATGGCTAAGAGACTGTCCATTATGCTGGAGTGAAGACATGAGTTTTCATCTGAATTTTATTACACTTGGTAAATGCAAGGAAGAAAAGTTTATACATAAATATTTGAATAATTTCTCAGTGGAGTCATTCTATATTTCTCAGTAATAAGGCTGACTTGTCAAGAGTGGTGAATTTAATGAATAATTCTAAAATAATTCTACTGATGCTTTAATTTTTCAAAGTCAGGGGGTCAAGGAACCTTGTGGGTCAGGTTTCTCATTGTGTCATACCACAGAATGTTCATATAAGGAACTAATTTCCAATTTATTTTTGCTCACTCACATGTCACACTATTGCTAGACTACTGCATTCCTGAGTGACAGACACCGATTTAGTAATTACTAAAACAAAAACAAAAAACTAAATGTTAAATATATTTTCCCACAAACTAACAAAAGATCTTCATTGTTTGATTTTAACAACCTGGTTGGTATTGTTCACTGTCCCACTGATCAAGAAATACTGAATAAAACATTCAACACACGTAAGTCCAATGCCAGGTTGTTTTCACTCTCAGTTGTCTTTTTTCACTTATATATTGTTAAGTAGATTTCCACTGACCTGCAACGTTAGAATCAAACATTAAAATTTAACCTGCTTCCTTTTCAAGAAAATCACTACCACCCAAGATGGTAAAAAGCTATTTTAGATCTATTATAGACGTATGGGTCTTTTTTCCAGGTGTTTCCTGTTACTAGATGGCATTTTAAATACAGTAAGAAAACTGAGGTGTGCATACACGAATTGAAACATTATGCAGCACCCCCTAAACATGTATAATATTTATGAATCAGTTAAAAATAAAAAAAAGACAGGGAGAAATATTTGTAGTATGAAAAAAGAGAAAATCGAAATAAGTGCTCAATAAAGAAATGAGTATATAAAATACTAGAAATACATCTAGAAGAAAACCCCAAGAGAAGCTACTTAGAATGTTCAAGCAAAGTACTAAATGTAGATGATGCCAGTGAAGCACAGTCATTGAATCTCAAATAGCTGTAACTGCAACTAACGTTCTCAGACCCCAACATGTGCCTCACCTGCCAACACTTTTTCAGGGACAGTCAGGTAGTTTCAGGTTGTAGCTCCGCCCCTTCTCATTTGTCTGAGCCTGGCAGGCCCCCATTTCTCCAAAGCCCTGTGTTCTCAGCTATCCTGGGATTGAGAATACTGCCCTCTCCGGGTTTTTCTGACAAAATGAGGTGCTATCAAATGTGGGGCACATCACAGACCTTCAGAAGGCCTGCTTCCTTCTTCCATTTCTAAATACTGAAATTGACACATAAATAATAATGTGATGAAATCAGAGGCTGAGTGAATTACAGAATGGCTGACAGGAGTTGATGACTGAATTCTACTCAGTTGAGCTGGATAAATGTTACTTTCTAGGTATATTTTGGGTGGTTAAAACACACACACACACACACAAAACCACCTCACATATTCCTCATCTAAGCACAAGCTATGGGGGCTTTCACTGGAACCTTTGCAGCCGAGTTTGGGTTGCCCTGCTTTTGTGACCCCTGCAGTTGGAAACACAGTGAATGTTGCAGGAAGCCTACCAAATTCTCTCCATGGAGGTTGCTGTGTGCTGTGTGCCCCACCTGAGGCCCATAAGGGAAATGTAGGGAACACCTGGCTCCCCAGTTTGCTGCAGGCAACAGCTAATTCCAAGGCTAATGGAAAAAGGCACTTAGCATAGTAACTTAGTGCCTATTCTGGAATCAGACTCAATCGATTGAATAAAACCAATTGCTGTAATGTATCTGACTCATCCACATGTCAGATTCTCAGGAAGCTCACCGCACTGGAAAAATGTGTTAATTTTATATGGGAAATATGGACATAATGATTGGCAGGAAGGTACAGCATTAAACTCCTATATTTGATTCAATACAGAGGTTTCCTGGTTTGCCATAGGGTTAGTTCCCAATAAACTCATTGTAAGTAGAAGATATTGAAAGATGAAAATGGATTGCCTACACCTAACCTATTGTACGTCATAGCCTAGCGCTCGGCAGGCTGTGCAGTGTTGGTTGTGTCCTCTTGTAATTGTAGGGCTGATTGGGAGCAGCAGCTGCTACCACTCCCCAGCATCACAAAGGAGAATCAGACCACGCAGCCCTAGCCCTGGGGAAAAGAACAAATTCAAAGTTTCAACTTGGAGTCTACTGAAGGTATATTGTTTTCTCACCATTGTAAAGCTAGAAAATCCTAAGTAAAACCATTGTCAGTCAGGGGCCATCCATGGAAGATGGTTCCTTAAGACATACACTGCCTTCCTATGTCTGCTAGCTTGGCTCATCCAAGTCCCAGTTATCTGTCCAACGCATTGTAGTTCTTCCTCTTCCTGCCTCACGGCCAACTGTCCTTGATCCTTGAATTCTGACTTCTTTTCTTGACACACTATGGACACTTTTATCTGAAAGATCATCAGGGACAAACCCAAGGGCCAATCAGTGTTTTTTTTTTTTTCTTGGTCATTTCCCTTGAAGTCTGCAAGCAAACGGCATGAGTTAGCAGGTTCCTCATGATAGGTTTTCCTGCCCAGGATCCTACAGTGCACCTGTCTTAGCCTCCTGTGCATACTTTGATCTTCTGTGCATAGCACAGCTAAAAAATAAAAAAAATTTTAAAAAGTGCACCTGTGATAACAAGGCTCTGAATTGTAATCCCAACTGTTCTGGCACAAGCTCCTTTGGGGATTAATCATATTTTACTTTGCAAAGAGAAAATAATCTCCATTCACTAGATGAGAATCTTTTAAGACACAAAGTTGGAGAAATACTTCAAACATGAAAATATCATACAGTGTAACAATTGTTTTACAGCTTGAAGAGCCCTAATATGAAAATTTCAGATCCAAAATCTGAATCTCATTGAGATCACATGATACCAGTAGAAAATTCTATTCCATTAAACTTGTTTTATGCACAAAATTACTAAAAATTGTATAAGACGTCCCATCCAAGATGTCTCATTATGTACATGTAAAAATTCCAAAACCGTAAAAAACCTAAAGTCCAAAACACTTCTGATCTCAAGCATTTCAGATAAAGGATTCTTAATGTATATTTAACTCTCTATAATCCTCATTAGATACTACAGAAGCCAAGGTCTGAAAACCAAAGGCACAGAAAACATGCCTGTAGCATGCCTGTGAAAGGTTCAGTTACTACTTCACTCAACAGCCCGACTCTTCCACTGAGCGTGCCGACATGCCCCTCACTAGGGAAGCATTACAAACTCCAGCCCTTAAGGGATACTGTGAAGTGCTGCTTTCCATTTTGAGAACAGGTTAACTTGCTGTTTGCACAGCATTTAATCGCCACCTACCCAAGTCCACAGTCATCAGAGGGAGGCAGCTGCTTCATTGGGAAATCTGTAATACAATGCCTCGAAATTACTGGAAGGAAATGATGGGTACCCCCTGCCTTTCATTCATAGCTTGTGCTCCACAGACCACAGAAAGGGAGCTCCCCCCTTGTCCTGGTGCCATGACTGTGCTCTGGCAGCTGCTCTTCAAACGTGTCAAGCTATTTAACAGTCAGCTATCCACAGCAGAACTGCATTCCACATCTCAGTGAGTACAGAAGGTTTTCTCAGAGCTGGCTTCCCATGAGCTTCTAAGCACCAACCCCAGTCCCTTCTCCAGGGGCGCCAGCATCTTCTTAGGGTTCTCCCACATTTCTGGCCACTCTTCTGTGCATCCCACTTCCTGATCCTGAAGTCTAAGTTTCCCAGTGATATTCTTCATTCATTTGCTCCACTCTCTCCCTCCACTCTGTTGAGTGACCACATAAATGGATGAGCCCCAGCTGCTTTTCCATAGATATTCCAGCCAAATTCAGAACGTGTAAAACTGATTTAGAGCCCTCCCTTGCTTGCCTCCCCTGCAGGCCCAGCATTCCTCTACTAGCTGAGCTCTCAGCCCCTATAGAATTAGTCCAGACTGCGAGGCCGGCTCCCAAACAGCGCAGTGGACCTAGCTCACCTCACCCGCAGCTGTTCCCTGCACTCTGCTCTTCTTCACTTTCAACTTCTGCTGTATCCACCAGGAGTCCTCCTGTCTAGCACAGCCTGGACCATCATGTTCATGTGGATAATAGGTATCTTCTATTATCTGAGCTCCCATCTGCCAATTCATTTCCTAAATGCCCACAATGGCATTTGTGTGGAGATGAAGGCAGGGGAGGAGACAGGAACTCAATCCAGGTCTCCCACATGGGTGGCAGGAACCCAATTACTTGAGCTACCACTGCTGCCTCCCAGGGTGGACATTAGCAGGAAGCAGGAGTCAAGAGCCAGGGCTGAGAATGGAACCAACAGGCTTCCGTGTAGGCTGCAGGCATACTAACTACGTGGCCAAATGTCGGCTCCCAACAAGTATCTTTTATTTTTATTTAATTTTCAATTACTTTATTTGAAAGGCAATATTAGAGTGAGGCAGCAAGAGCCATCTTCCATCTGCTAGTTCAATCTCTGAGCGCCCATAACAGCCAAGGTGGGGTCAAGTTGAAGCCAGAAGCCTGGAACTCCAGCAGGGAATTCCCAAGTGGGTGGCAAAAGTCTCTGTGTGAGCAGTATTTGGTGCCTCCCAGGGGCCATTAGCAGGAAGCTGGATCAGAAGCAGAGCTGGGATTTAAAGCAGGCACATCAATATGGGATGTGCTGGGCCACAAGGCCTGCCCCTAGGTATATTTTAAATGTGACTGATCCTCTGCCTCCTGTGACAAATGCTTGTCCATCTTCCTAGTATTAACTGAGTAACTTTTCTAATGTCCAAGATCACAGACAACATACCTCTACACTACCATTTACAATGCAGTGCTGTGCAGCCATCTCTCTTCCTTCCATAGAGTCTTCCTTATATAGATTCTGAGTCTGCGAGGGCATTCTCTCAAAGCCTGTGAGTTGTTTTAAAACTGGGGAAATGGTAGAAAACTGATAGCCATGTGAAATACAAGGGGCCTTCTAAAAATTCACGGATAATATATATCGTGAAAAGTCCCTATCTGGATTTCAAAATGCTTTGCACCCAAGTAGTTCCATTTTCATGATTTTTTTTGAAGTGCCCCCATAATTCTCGTCTGCGGGCATGGGAGAACTAGTCTACAGAAGTCCACCTGACTTCCTCGCCCCACGTGGAGAAGCCAGTTTTGCTGGCTTCATTTCAGTCTTCCCCATTTGTAAATGTGTCTGGTTCTGGGGTTTCCTTCTGAACAGGTTGCAGCATCCTTCATTAATAATGAAGGCAAGAGGCCGGCGCCGCGGCTCACTAGGCTAATCCTCCGCCTAGCGGCGCCGGCACACCGGGTTCTAGTCCCGGTCGGGGCGCCGGATTCTGTTCCGGTTGCCCCTCTTCCAGGCCAGCCCTCTGCTGTGGCCAGGGAGTGCAGTGGAGGATGGCCCAGGTGCTTGGGCCCTGCACCCCATGGGAGACCAGGAAAAGCACCTGGCTCCTGGCTCCTGCCATCGGATCAGCGCTGTGCGCCGGCCGCAGCGCGCCGGCCGCGGCGGCCATTGGAGGGTGAACCAACGGCAAAGGAAGACCTTTCTCTCTGTCTCTCTCTCTCACTGTCCACTCTGCCTGTCAAAAAAAAAAAAAAAAAAAAGAAGGCAAGAAAAAAATCTTTAACGTGTTCATTCTATATTTGAACCAGAGTCATGATTCTGCTTGTTTTTGAACATTATCCTTTAACAATATGCTACGTGCCCTGTGCCCACAACTAAACTGATCCAGTTATCACTCCCTAAAGATAACTTATGCCATATTCTGTGCAGGGCCTTTGCCTAAAATGCTCCTTTATTCTGGAGTTTCCCATCTTCCTCTCCAGCAATACCCAGCAAAAAAATACCATTGATTCTGTTGTCCGGTGCCCCTGGTAAACTACGCTCGCTCCAGAAAGCTTCTGCTGGGCATCTGGCCCTCCAGGCCTCTCTCCTGGAGTCTCACGATGTCTGCCATCTGCCCCACCACATGGCATTTCTTTCCCATGCTGCACTCAGAGCTCCTGGTGCACTGCCTTCCCATCCTCTGCTCTGCAGCCCCCGGAATGTGCACCTCATCCCTGGGGACCTGGGGTCTCCCGTGACCACAGTCTCACATCCTCTCTATTCCCCACTCTGATTTGTGTTCATGTGCATAGACACACCCAACGACCAAATGTCTACTCAAGTAAAGAACTTGATTACCAAGGTAACTGTTCACAGACCTTTCTCACTAAAACCTGACAGTGAAATCAGCTGTTTAAAGTAATCGAGTGGCAGCATACAGCTCCAAAATGCTGTTGGAAATGTCTTCCGTCTTGTTTGTTCTCATTATTGGGTACTGCTTTCCCACTAGTAGGAACTGGAATCTACAGCCCAAACGGCTCTGAACTTCCACTGCCAGCTCACTGAAGGCCACCCTGACTCCCCAGGGCAGGGCAAAGCTTGCTGTCCTAGGGCTCACAGCACACTTCCAGTGTTAGCTGACTCACCAGCCCGAGGTTATCAACGATCTAATTACATGTTTCCTAGTCATCTTTCCTACTAGACTGGTGGCCTCCCCAGGGCAGACACCATGTTTTCTTCAACTGGCATCATGCTTGGTACACAACAGGTGCTCTGGAAAAATCGGTCAAAATCATGTTCATGGTATTTGTGTCCTGGGAATGAGAACATGAATTTCTAGCTTTCCAACATGTAAAGCAGTCCCTAGTATGATTCTCCCCACTAATACAGAGTGCACATGATGAATCTTGGTTAGACATCTTGTCATTTATGAAACAGTGAAGGCTTTTCCCACCCAGGGTTATTCTATATAGTATCAGATTATAATTAAGCTAAACTGAGAGATATTAAACCAACAGCTAATTAACAGTAAAAAATAAGCATAAAAGACAACTGATGATTTAGCCTCTAAATATATACATATACCGGAATTCAAACTGGAAAAATTGGCACATTTGAGAATTCCACAGTAGCAAAGGGATACAGAACTACACACTGTTTTAGTTTGGGCATTTTGGCAAAGCATCTAGCATTATAGGTAGTTGCTACCAACGCCCACTCTTCCCTTCTTTCTTTGCTATAAAATACCCCATTTTTAGATGGACATATTGTTCCCCAAAGTAGAATTCCCCAATGTTTCTTACAGCTAGAAGTGGCCATGGGGTTAAACTCTGTCCAACTGGAAATGCACTGAAATGTTGGAGAGTTCTATTTTGCTTTGTATCTTAAACTTCTGTTTCCTTTTTTTTTTTTTTTTAAACTTTTCTTTCTATAATTCTTTTTCCATCTCTCCTTCCTGCAGTCTGGAATACAGATGCAATGGCTAAGCTCAAGCAACCATTCTGGTTCTTGGGAATGAAAGCCACACCGAAGCAAAACAATTATACAAATGCTGGACTAACTTCCTCTATGCTTTTTGAACATGACAGAAATAAATGTCTATCTCATTCCAGCCAGTGTGGTCATTTTCAGCCAAACCTAATCATAACTGATATGGCATATTAGGTGCTTTACCTGTTGAAATCTGCTCTGAATTCTCATCGATCTAGTTTTTAGAAACAAACAGGTCATAAAGTAAAAAAAAGCCATAAATAATCACACATACGGCTTCCAGTCTTGGCTCCCCTAGCTTTTAGTCATATAATGTTGGGCAGCTTCTGAGACTTGCTTCCATTCAATGTAATACGGAGATAATGATGATATTCTCTCCTTGGAGTTATTGGAAGAACTGAGTCATGTCAGGTGAGATAATACATGAGAAGGGGTTTGGAAAATCATAAAAGCATTACATACTTTTTTTTTGGCTTTTATTTCTAGCAAGAGAAAAGTGATTCAGGGTTGGGTAAGTGGAGGAATGAATCGGGCCATGCAGATAAAGCGGTAAAGGAAAGCCTACTGAATCTCTACCCTATCATCCCTGCCAGCAGCATTTAAAAGAAATTGATACACGTAGCCTCCACACAGGATGCGGCTGTATGCAGTTGAAAGGATGCACTTAGAACAGTGCCTGCTCCTGTGAGTACAGCAGTGGAGTCCACACCAAGGTGGCTTCTCCGGCGTGCTCTTCTCCCTTGGACAGACTCTGTGGCATTCCAAATTAAAATCTTACTGTTTGGAATCAGAACCAAGGAAATCCCCAAATTTGACTAATGACAAGAGACTAACAGAACCATTTGTTGGTTGCAACAGTGGATGGGCTCGGCCACGGTTTGTTTGGTGCTGTTGTCACACATGGGCCGAGATTGGATAATGTGCAAAGAACATCAATTTATATCTCAGTTTTGGAGGCTGGGACGTCGAACCTTGAGCTGACTCAGGTTCAATGTCTACTGAAGGCCTGTTTCCATCCCCATGACGATCTGTCCTCACAAGGCAGGGAGTAAAAAGGGACGCACCTGCTCTGTTAAGCCCTTTTATAAGAGTACCGAGCAATCCCCACGGCCTAATTGCCTCTTAAAGGCCCCATCTCTTAATACCATCACATGAGCAACACCTGCGTTTTGAAGACGCTGCATGCGAATCACAGCAGGCGCTTTTAACAGTTGCTATGCTGACTTCATTTTCACTGACTCTACAGGCGAAGGAGCTTCAAGCTTTCTGATGGCCTGGGGCTCAGGCCTTCTCTCACGGTCCTTTTGTGCCTTTGTGATTTAATAACCAGCGGGCAATCCGATGTGTCTTGTTTGAAAGTTCTCAGTGACCATCTTACTACTGATCCATTGCTAAGGTGTTTTTAACCTGTACAACACGGTAGTGCTCCTCAAGCTTCCTGGTGTATTTCAGGTCACCTGTGGGTCTTGTTAAGATGCAGATTCTGCGGTTCTGGGGCATCACAGAGATCCTGAATCCTACCAAGCCCCCAGCTGATGCTGATAACGCAGGTCTATGGACAACATTGTGAGCTGCAAAGTTAAGGGTAATCTAGCTGATTAGGAATCCAAGTTGGGATTTAGACCCAGGTATGTCTAATTCCAAAGTCTATTTCTCATTGAATTACAGAATTTGAAAGCTGAATAATAAATCTGAAATTGTGTTTAAGCCCAATTATTTGGGATAACTGTTAACTGTTAAATTACAATTTAGAACTATTATCCCAGAGAATAAAAAAGAGGTACATTAAACTGGAAAACGATTAAAAAAATTTTTTTTGAGGAAAGGACAGTGATAATAGGATAAAGAGACAATATAAAAGAGTGAAAACATATAGAAGACAGATGATAAATGTTTACATTTTTAAAGAGAGCAGCAAGAGCCACAACTTGCCACATTTCTAAAACAGCGACCCCAGGCATCACGCGCTGATAAAGGTCTCTGACCACTCCAGCACCTGCCAGGTGACCACAGCACCTGTGACTAGAGAAGACAGCGCCATGACCCAGAGGGATGAGGCCCAATCCCCATTTCAGCAGCATTCTAGACAACAGGCAACTCTTCCAGCGAGAGAGAGCAAGCCCAGGGCCCCAGCAGTGTCGGCCGGCTGGCCCTGAGGGGGAACTTGGGAGGTCTCTCTCAGGGAAAAGAGTAAAAACAAACAAGAGGATTTTCACTCTACCCAAGGCTAGACTTGTACAGCAGATATTTCCCCTGGATTCTTCACTGAAGGCAAGTTCAAAGTCCTACAGAGAGTCTACTCTCTGTGTGTTCTCCAACAGACCATAAAAAATCACCATAGAACAGGCCATGGTGCATCCAATAGCATTATTTTGTCACTGACATTGGCACCACCAGAGATTTTCGCAGAACAAACTTTCCTCTTAGTCATCAGCTAGATAGAGTAAGTACATTGCCAACTTCCTCTGATGTCCTGTTGTCCCTCATGCTTAAAAACAGGCCCAAGGGCCAGCGCTGTAGTGTAGTAGGTTAAACCTCTGTCTGTAGTGCAGGTATCCCATATGGGTGCTGGTTCAAGTCCCAGCTGCTCCACTTCTGATCCAGCTCCCTGCTAATGACCTAAGAAAGCAGTGGAAGATGGTCCAAGTGCTTTGACCCCACACCCACGTGGAAGACCTGGAAGAAGCTCCTGGCATCAGATCAGCCTAGCTCTGGCCATTGCCGCCATTTGGGGAGTGAATCAGCTGATGGAAGACCTCTCTCTCTCTGTCTCTCCTCCCTCTCTCTGCAACTCTGCCTCTCAAATAAATAAATAATTTTTTTTTTTTTTTAAAAAAGGACCTAAAACCTTCCTCAAGCTTTTCAGCCGGGATCTATCAGGTCTCGATTTCTTGTGTTTACCGTCTATTGTATTAGGTAGTAGATGAATGTCATTTTATTAGTCCTGACCTATTCTCAAGGGAGTTTTGTTGCATTTATTGTCTTAAATTCTTCTGTTTATGTGTTAGTTTCCCTTTTGGAATCTCCGGTTTTCACTGTTTTGTAATTATGATTGAGGACGTCTTGCAGGATTGTGAGTTCTTGTAGAGCTAAGGCTTATCCTAGGTTTTGTATCTTCGGTGCCTAGCACTGCATCAAGCAAATAGCAGGCGTTCAAAAAAGTGTGCATGAGAACATGGATAAGCTCGAATGCAGAAATCTGATCATCACATTGTATTTACTTACAAGAACCATTAGTTTTTGAGTGGAATTTCCTTTGAGCTTTTTTTTTTTTTTCTGTTTCTTTAATTCTGGTGTACAAAGATTTAGAAAGCATTCAGTTCAGGACTTACTCATATATTCCATCACTTTCCAGCTATTTTTAATTCAAATTGATAGGCATTTACTGACTATCTCCTAGAAAATCCAACTCTAAGTGCCAGAGGCCACAGTTCTTAGACCACACACCCCTTTTCTCTTTGAAGACATTCATCAGTACAACCACAGGGCGCATCCAGACCTTGTCTTGTGCATTTCAAAATAAATAAAAACCAGTACATAACATGTATAACACATCACATACTTGATCAAATTGGGGGTCTTCTCCACGTTGTAGAGATTTTGTCAAAGGCTTTTCCTAGAAAGAAAAAAAATATATGTTTAAGAATATTTATTACAGTTTCTGAAACATTATAAAAATATCATTTTTTTCATTTATTTTTCCATTTTATGAGATGAGGAGGTACCAGTTTTAAAATTTGCAAGACACTGTCCCTTTGGTATTCTGACCTTAACATACAGCATCTGCTCAAGTCACTGTGATTCTTGGTGTTATCCTAACACAAATCAGTCGTACAAAAACATTAAGGATAGGATGCTCATGGAAATGCAAATTAAAAATGCAATGAAATACGGCCTCTTCCCTATCAGAAGGACTTACCAAAAAGAAAACAAGAAACAAAAACAAAAGGATGACAAGTGATGGCAAGGATGTGGAGAAAAGGGTACTCTTTACATTGTGGGTGGGAATGTAAATTAGTACAACAATTACGGAAGACAGTACGGAGGTTACTCAAGAAAACTAAAAGTAGGACTACATATGATTCAGCAATGTTACTTCCAAAGGAAATGAAATATAGTAAAAAGATAGCTGCATGCCCATGCTCACTGCGGCTTTATTGGCAATAGCCAAGATAAGGAATTGGCAGAATGGTCTAGTTGAGGATGCATGGGTAAGAAAAATGTGACTTATATGCACAATGGAATACTAGTCAGCTTTTTTTAAAAAAGGAAACACTGGCACTTGTGACAGCATGGACAAACTGGAGGATATGATACAAAATGATAAAAGCCAGCCAAAGAGAGATGTATACCATACAATCTCACATGTGGAATTTAAAGCCGTTAAACTCATACAAGCAGAGAGTAGACTGGTGGTTACCACGGGCTGGTTGGGGTAAGGGTGACAGATGGGGGAGATATTGGTCAAAGGGTATAGAGATCTCTGGGGCATCGCAGAGAGCCTGAAATCCTACCAAGCCCCCAGGTGATGCTGATAACGCAGGTCCCTGGACAACACTGTGAGCTGCAAAGCTGTAGGTAATCTAGCTGATTAGGAATCCACGTTGGGATTCAAACCCAGGTGTGTCCAATTCCAAAGTCTATCTCTTGTTGAAATGCAGAATTAGAAAGCTGAATAATAAATCAGAAATTGTATTTAGGTCTAATTATCTGGAATAACTGTTAACTCTGATGTTAACATTGAGAACGACAGAGTTTGGGTTGGTTAAGAGGAATAAGTTTTGGAGATCTATTGGATCGCATGGTGACTGTTGTTAATAGTAACATATTGTGCTGTGGTCTGAATGCGTCTCTGAAATTCACATATTGAAACTGAGCCCCTAAGGTGATGGTTTTAGAAAGTGGAGTCTGTGGGAGATGATCAGATCCCGAGGGCAGAATTCTCCTGGATGGGATTAGTGCCCTTATAGAACAGGCCCTAGGGCGAGCAGCTGAGGGTGCCGTGACAAGGCTCCAGCTCTGAGGCACAGGCCCTCAGTCCACACTGAACGCACTGCTGCCTTGGTGTGGGATGCCCCCGCCTCCAGAACTGTGAGCAATGCATTTCTGTGCTTTAGAAATTACCCAGGTTATAGCAACTTTTTATTATTATTATTATTATTATTATTAATTTGACAAGTAGAGTTACAGGCAGTGAGAGACAGAGAGAAAGGTATTCCTTCCATTGGTTCACTCCCCAAATGGCCGCCATGGCCGGTGCTGTGCCGATCCGAAGCCAGGAGCCAGGTGCTTCCTCCTGGTCTCCCATGTGGGTGCAGGGCCCAAGCACTTGGGCCATCCTCCACTGCCCTCCCAGGCCACAGCAGAGAGCTGGACTGGAAGAGGAGCAACCGGGACTAGAACCCAGCGCCCATATGGGATGCTGGTGCCGCAGGCGGAGGATTAACCAAGTGAGCCATGGTACTGGCCCCATGGCAGCTGTTTATAGAACCCTAAATGGGTTAACACTTACTGCATACTTGAAAATTGCTAACAAAGGAGATTTTAAATGATTTTATCATACAAAGATAAATGCATGAGTTGACTGCTATGTTTATCAGTTTGATTTACTCTGCAATGTACATATATACTAAAAAATTATGTTGTATCCCATAATGATATACAATTTTTAATTTGTCAATTGAAAAAAAAAGTGGCTCTGTGTTTTCAAAGGTAACCACATAATAAAAAATAGGGAGTTTATTTGGAAATTTTTAGTATTTATCTTGGGAGTTGACAGATAATAAGAAACATGGAAGAGAACACACTATATAAAATCCTTAGTTTTAGAAAGAGAATAGGATCTATTTATTATATTGGTGTTAAGGGACAAACTTCCAATCACACATTTATTATGCCTAACTGATGAATTTTTGGTATGTGAGTTGACCTATACCCACATTTAACCCTTTGCACAAATAATATGTATACTGACAAGGGTCTACAGAAATAATTCTCCCTAATTATTACATCTCTGTTTACATTGGGAAGGCTCAATGGACCTTCCAGGAGAACTTTTATAATTACTCATCCTTACTCATATTTTTCATTTGCTGTGAAAGTTAATTCTGACCCAAAATTTGGTTTAGTATTAGAAACTATATAAAAGCTATATATCAAAAAATCACAAGTTTTACTTTAGCCAATGCAGGTGCACTACAAAGAGCCAAGTTACATTTAACTACTCACAGACCCTCTGGCTGCCTTACTTCTCCAAACTCCTCTACTTACAAAGATCATAAAAGGACATTTCAGGAAGTTTGTGGGGAAATGGAATTGAAAGGTTTCTTTTGGTGCAAAAGTTTTTTGAAATCTATGCAATGATTTTTTAAAAATAATATAGCTTTTCCATGAACTTTTTGAAAATTGGTTGTATACCTAAGGCAGATGCAAGCCCCCATGCCCACACTAAAGAGTCTTGAACTTGAAGAAAAGGTGGGCTCATTCTGAGTATCTGAAGCTTCATTAGGAACCTTATGAATTAACTGCTCTGTCTCATTTGTAGAATATACTGCTTAGAAATGTATAGTCATCTAAAATAAAGTGGACCTTTGCTCTTCAAAATATACTATCTAGGGCCGGCGCCGCGGCTCCATAGGCTATCCTCCACCTGCGGCGCCGGCACCCCAGGTTCTAGTCCCAGTCGGGGCACTGGATTCTGTTCTGGTTGCCCCTCTTCCAGGCCAGCTCTCTGCTATGGCCTGGGAGTGCAGTGGAGGATGGCCCAAGTACTTGGGCCCTGCACCCGCATGGGAGACCAGGATAAGTACCTGGCTCCTGACTTTGGATCAGCGCGGTGCGCCGGCTGTAGCAGCCATTGGAGGGTGAACCAATGGCAAAAGGAAGACCTTTCTCCCTGTCTCTCTCACTGTCCACTCTGCCTGTCAAAAAATAATAATAAAAAAATACATACTATCTAGGCTACACTAGTGGGAGAGTACATAGAAAAAGTAGACGAGAACCAAGAAGAACAATTAAACTAGCAACAGATGCAGTTGATTGTACGAGAAGACAAACTGAGAAATTAAATTGGAAAGCATTTCTTATATACGTCAAGGATACAATGACATCTGAAAGCCTCTGTAAAACCAACTGATTCACAGCTATGGAGATGAAGGAAGTGAAAATGGGTGCTGCCAGGTCCCACCAACAGCCATGGAACAAATGCAGGACGAGCATTTCTACTCCTCGTTTTGCTTCTTCATCACTCTGCAGTGACTTGGGGTTTCACAGAATGTCAATGCTGCCTGCTGGGTGGAACGCTGGAGAACAGGTGATTCCACCTCCGGGGAGAAGAGACAGGGCGCAAGTGGCAGGCAGTCAAGGGCAGTTACACGTCTGAAGAGTCTTAGCTATCAAAGGGCGTCTGAGTTGAGGATACATGGCAAGCATCCAGTGAATCACTTTCTACTTCTCACTTTGTAGCGGTCTCTCAAAATCTCCAGCATGCCCACATGAGTGAGATTTCACTCACCTACAAAGCTCCAAGATATTTCGCAAAACTGGTTTAAACCCATCAGTGCTAGTGGAGTTAAAGCGGGAATATTGGATTTGTTGAGTCATCACCAACTTTCCTCAAGATGTTTGTCTTTTAATGACGACAGTAGTTGGGTATGGGAATCAAGTGCATGGACTTTGCAGTCTGAGAGATCTGAGTTCGAGTCCTAGGTCCTTTATTTACAACACATGGACCTCACTTCATCTCTCTAAGTTTCAGTTATCATCTGGGTGAAATGAGGATAAAGAATACCAACCTACCTCACAGAACTGAAAGACAAATGGCACAAAGCATTCAGTAGCTGGCTGATGAGACGTTCTCTTCACATAATTATTGGAATCACTTAAGGTGAAATGTGTTACCTCTTCCATAATGGTCAGGAGTGGAAACTAAGTCCCCATGTACCTTCCTGGGGCCATGCACACTCCCACTAACACTATAAAGCTTTTATCTCAGCTTTCCGGAAGCTTCAAAGTGTAACTAGGAAGTTGTCTTACAGGAAACAGAAAAACAAATTATAAAGAGTAAATTGCCCTTCTCAAAAAAAAAAAAAAAGTACTACACTGACTTTGACTTGTAATATATAATTTAGAGGAAACCTTTTAATTTAATGCTGAAGTGGCTATAAAGACAAGGTAAAAACAACAACCAAACAATCGACCACTAAACTCCTCCAGTCAGGAAACTACACAGTGCCTTTAATTGAAAGAATACGTTGACAGGTAATCCACTGAAGACATTGATAGCTCTGATAGTGAAATTTATATTACACATGTCTGGTCTGAGCAGTTAGTGAGATTTCAGACGCCCCTTCTTCAGAACAGGTGTGGATGCTGCACCGTGAACTTTCCCTTCCCTGCGTGACAGCAGCTTCTGCAAGCTCTGTGGACTTAACTGTTGGAATGACACTGAGGTCATTTCATCTAGCACTGTCAGCACTCAACCGTGGGGGCCCTCGTTCAGCCTGAACCCCTGTTCAGCCTGACTCTTTTATTCTATTTGGTTATTAAGATAAATATCTGTAAGCAGAGCAATACATGTCTATTTTCACCCCCAAACACTGGGGAAAAAACTCAAGA